ACCTGTATTACGTGATGTCGACCGATACCACGTATAAGCCTAAATATCTTTGGGATTTCACCGAATGGTCCGAATGCAGCGTCAGATGCGCAGGTGGAACCATGGTAATTTTCATTATCCAAGTCGAGTCATTGATGTACATATATATATAACGAAATAATTATTACAATTTTGTGAATGTGATCAATTTACAATATCGTTATGGAAACAATTTCGTTATTACAGTATGTGTGATGCATATTTTGCTTCCATTATATAGGAATATCGAGACCTTATCGATAACGTTATAGTGGATCGATTATAATCAATTGCTCGACAATCACGTTACAATGCGATTATCTTGCCAATTTCTTGCTATGAAAGAAACGAGTATATCAGTGTATCGATAACTAGTAGAATACTGGAATTGTCACAACAAAAAGAAATGGAACTTAATTAGAAATCTGATTCTTTATCGTATATATTTTGTGTATATTTCTTTTAATGATAAAAGAAGCATCAATATAGCAGACTATAAATTATGTGATATGTACGTATAATTGAAATATCATAATATACGTACTTTTTATATTTTCATGTATTTAAACGCGATTGCATTTCGTTCATCTTTCCTTTCCGCATCGCGTGACGAAAGGATGGCGCGATAATAAATCAATTAATATAATTCCCAATTGCATACGAATACAATTCCATTCCTTTTTCCGTTTCAACGAGACTGATTGCCTTTTGAATCGTTGCAATTTTTCTTTTTATTTCTCCTGCCCACACAAATATATATGATATATATACCGACACGTATCGATTCGTTTTAGATTTCGCAGCCAACGTGCATCGAACAATACGGAGGAAAAGTAGTATCAAGCTTTTGTAACGGCATACCACGGCCAGAGCCGAAATCTCGAGTGTGCAACACGCATGCGTGTCCCGCCAAGTACGTGCTGCGGCGAAGAATGTGCAATTATTCTAGAATTGGGTTATCGTACGGGGTATCGTTGTGTTTTTAAAAGGTGGCGCGTGAGTCAATGGAGCAAGTGCAGCGCCTGCGACGGAAAGAAAGGAACGAGGCATCGAAAGGTGCAGTGCGTGCGACCCGCCCCGATCGCGGGTCAGGATGACATACAGGCGAATCTGGACGCGTGCAAAGGTCGCGTGCCCAAGCAGAAAGAGGAATGCGTAGGTGAGTGGTGTATCGTTACTTCCTTCCTCTCTATCTTGGTTGATTAAAGTTTAAATTATAAATCCTTGGGATGACGTTTATAAATTATATTTTTTTATCGATTCAAGTTAATTGACGAGATTATTTAGCGTTTCTTTTTCTTTTTTTTTTTTTTTATTTTGACGTTTAAATTATAATTCTTGGCAGGATCTGAAATTTTATTAATAGTTCTTCTCTGCTGGAAATATTTTTTATCGATGTAAGTTAATTGACAAAGTTAGATTTAATTATTGTTTTTCTTTTCTTTTTCTTTATTTTTATGTTTAAATTATAATTCTTGAAAGGATCTTAATTTTATTAATAATTTTATTATAATTTCCTTTATTGGAAATATTTTTTATTAATGTAAGTTAATTGACAAGGTTTTAATTTAATATTTTTCTTTTTTTTTTTTTCTTTATTTTGATGTTTAAATCATAATTCTTGGAAGGATCTGAAATTTTATTAATAGTTCTTCTCTGCTGGAAATATTTTTTATCGATCTAAGTTAATTGACAAGATGATTTAATTAGTATTTTTCTTTTCTTTTTTTTTAATATAATAAAAAAAATTTTATCGTTTTATCAATTCAAAGAGAATGGGTTAAATGACGACGTGATTGCATCGAAATATCATACGTACATTTATAATTGCATTTGTCATTGTAATAAAATAGTATTTTTTTCAAACACGCACGATTCGCAGTAATTTTTTTTTTCTCACCTCTGAGAGACACTCTGCAGGCATTCGAAAATATTATTTTTCCATTTTGCTATATATGCTGGTAAATATACATAGGCGCGTGATATACGTGTGTGTAGGGAAAGATTTACGGTGTAATGGAAATAAAATATTGACACCGCGATGAAAAAGAAAAGGGTGGCCGAGAGTAGGTGAGAAAATATGCACAAATCGTGTCTTCCTCCTTATCGTACTTATTTCTCTGCGAAATTTAAGACTTTGATCGATCCTTTCCAAACTTTTTTTTTTTTTTTTTCAGAATGTCTCGATGAATATATCGATCAGATTAAGTAACTTTTAATATAAAATCGTATTTCTAAACTCAAAAATCTATCTAACGTTTCTTAATCCTTTATATTTGGGCATCAAAGATATATATTTTGATTTTTAATATTTTCAAATTCAATTCGATTGCTATAATTTGACACATTCATTATTATATCACAATTTCATTACTAAAATATTATCAAATTTTTAATAATTTAATATTTATTATTAACTTAAGCTCACAATTCTATTAAAAAAAATTACAAAATGTCAAATCCAATAGAATCACTCCTATTTACTATTGACTTCTAAGATCGATTCCATCGCTAAAAAATTAAAAAAAATTTCAAATTTAATTAAATCAATCAGTAACTTGAAGATCGTAATTTCATTGCCAAAAGATTACAATTTACTCACATCTAAACCATAGACTCTAAAATCCCAAGATCTTGCTCGCTAAAAAAATAAAAACGAATAATACAAATCGAATAAAAAAATTTCCCCTAAAATAGTTGCCTCAAGATCACAATTCCATTGCATATATAACAAAAAATTAATTTCAAATCCAATAAAATCATTTGGTATATCCATTATTAAAAATCATAAAAATCGTAATTTCATTGTCAAAAAGAAAAAAGATTACCAATTTCTCATATCTAAACCATAGACTCTAAAATCCCAAGATCTTGCTCGCTAAAAAAATAAAAACAAAAAAAATCGAATAACACAAATCGAATAAAAAAATTTCTCCTAAAATAGTTGCCCCAAAATCACAATTCCATTGCTAAAAAATTAATTTCAAATCCAATAAAATCATTTTATTGGATTAACTTGTAAAAATGGAAAAAATTCATTGCCAAAAGATTATTAATTCCTCACACCATAAATTTCCAAGATCTCATTAAAAAAAAAAAAAAAAAAAAGGAACAATTCAAACGAAAAGTTCGCCCAGAAAAAAGAAAATAATTTTCAAACAAAATGTTCCCCTCTGGACAGGTAAGAGGCCGTGCAAGAAGTTGTGCACCAAGAAGAAGACCCGGAACACGGAGCATACCGCCAAGAAGGAGAAGAAGCAGACGATGCTTCCCGCCGAGGAGCAAGGCCGATTGATCGACAAAGCGGTGGACCTGAGCCTGGCCCGATACCTCGAGAGGGCGTACGGCGTTCCACGCGAGTTAAGCGAGTTGGAGAACGGGATCGGGATAGCCGACTTCCGCCAGCTGCTCCGCGAGTGGTCCCTCGCCGAGGAGGGGAAGAGGAAGCGCGCGACGTCGTGCATGAACGACTTCCCCACGCCGAAGCCAGGCGCGATCATCAAGGACTCGCTCCCCGTGGAGAAAGTGATGGTGATGCAGGCGCCCCTAATCATCGAGGACCTGCAGGCGAATCTGTCGGACCTCGCTTACCAGCAGATAGGCGACATGAGCATCGGGGGCGGCCTCGACACCTCCCGCATCAAGGTGTTCAACGGGACCGAGGCGTTCAAAGTGATGGAGGAAATGGAGGGTATAACGCGGCCACCCGACTTCAAACCGTGGAAGAATTCCACCCTCAACTCGTAGAGGATCGTGAAACGCGAATAGAAATCGCGGGAAATAGAAAGAAAGCGGTTTTTTTTTTTTATTTCGACTTCGACACAGGGTGGTCGCGCACCGGGTTTGTAGGATTAGGATTCGGGAATCGGTTAGGTTCGAATAGTAACGGGCGAATTTTTTTGGAATATTTGGAATTGGTTGTGGTCGATCGTTGGTCGTGTCAATCGTGCAATTGGGTCAAAGAATCAAAATTAATGGGAGATATTCGTTTTAAAGAAAGGATATAATAATATAATTTTTCGAAGATCGATATATGGTATTTAAATATTCGGATTTATATTCGTGAATTTATAATTAATTCGAGGTTTGGAACGAAACGAAGTTTGGAAAATTGAAATAATATTTTTTTCTTCTCTCCCCTCTATTCCCACTACCCCTCTCCCTCCCCTCCGACACTGTGAAACTTCAACCAATTTGAAAAACGTGATATATTATCGTCGTCGTCGAATTAATTCAAGATAAATCCAAGTGCATTGTCTTTGTACAGTTTAAATAACTTAATATCGATAACTATTTGATATTATAATAATAATAATAATAATAATGATACTTTATTCGAATAACGTTTAAAAGAGCGTTTAAAAGTATCGTATTGTAAGAGTATGTATTTAGAAGTATCGAGAAATATAGATAAGCTAATTAAATTATATATATTAAATACGTGTCGTTTTCTCTCTCTTTTTCTCTCTCTCTCTCTTTTGTATTTCAACAATATTTAATGTATGCACACTTGATTCAATTCAATAGGATATCGGATAAAAGCCCGATCCGCGTCGAATATAATTCGATTTCCTGGCAAGCGTGCGTAATCTGACGGCAAATTGAACGGCAACGATGAAATAAAATGCAAGCGAAACAGTGACAGTGCCGGCGATTTGTCCCGGTGCTATCGTATTTTTAATCGACGCATTAATATTTTAATGCCAAGTCGATTTATTACGAAATTATCTTACGCCTGTCCGATCGGTATTGCAGATTCAACAACATCTATGCTCCATCATTTCCATCAATGTCACAATGTTTTAATCGTTTAAAGAGACGGCCACTCTCGCATTGAAACGTGATATTTAATGCATTTCGTATAATGTATATAATGCACGTACATTAAATTAATCATAATTATAACGATTAATACACTGATCTCTGGGCATATGATCGTAACGCGAATAATGTATATATCGATTTTCAATTAGGTTAACTCGTTAAGAACGTTTAGAGGCGGTCACGGCCTCTTCTTGAATTTTTTGAATATACTTGACTGCATCCATTCCAACCAAAGTAAACGTGGTAATGTTGGGCGGTGGTTGAGGCACGAAATCCTTGGGGAAAATCAAGGCGCCGGTTGCATCACGTTCCAAAATAATGGTTAAGGTTAAATTATTAATATCCTTGCTGTCGATCACTTCTTCACCCTTCTTTATCTTCTGAATCTCTTTTTCCTCTTCTTCTTTCTTTTTTTCCTCCTCTTCTTCTCTTTCCTCCTCCTCTTCTTCTTCTTCCTCGTCCTCCTCCTCCTCCTCCTCATCGTCGTCGTCGTCGTCGTCGTCTTCCTCTTCTTCGTGCATCCTTTTAATTCGTAATTTCTTTCCGCCCGAATCTTCGTTGTTTCAACAATAACAAAACACTTAGTAAATGGATATCTACTAAGAAGTAATCGTTAATAAATTACGAAATAAAAAAATTCTACAAAAAAAAAAGAAGTAACATTTTTCATAGATATTTTTTAGACAAAATTAAACAACTATTTTTCAAGTTCTTCCAACACTCGACACATGGTCGATCGAAGAATCGAATCGATACGAATAGAATGGAACGGAATAATAGATATACTTTTCCACCGCTTCGAGCGTGCTGTTGGAACATTGTTGTTACGTTTCTCCCGGCCGGCGCAGGGCTCCCGTTCCTTCGGCTTCGGCCCTACGCAGTAGCTGTCAGCGATAATATCTGCATCCTGCTCGGAATGACCGACGGGGCGTACGCATTTGACGGATCGCGTGTTCTCGCAACGGAACGTGCAGGATGTGCATCCTTGCCAATCACCGATCATCCATCTGGAATCAACGTCATTTCGATAGAATTAGAATCACAGAATCGGTGCATCGTCTTCTCGTTCGAAAATAGAACAAATCGAACGAGCGATCGGAGAGAAATGCGGATGCTCATCCATTAAATGTATTGGTAAGAATTTCGAAGAATGAACGTGATAAGTTCTATTCAACCTCTATCTTTTCAAATTTTACTTTACAAAACACATGATGATAAAAAATAAATACGTTTTATTTTATTATAAAGAAATTTGTAAATTGAAATTATTGTAAAGAAATATTTTTAGAATATAACCTAAATGCGAATATAACCTATTCGCTTTTAATGATACAGTGATTCAATTTTATTATTATCATAATATGAAATTTTTTGATTTGAGGCTATCAAGTTATTGTATTCGTGTAAATAAAATTTAGACTCGGTTTTAAATTAAACGTGAATACGTAAATTTTTGCATCAAAAAACGAAAAGAAGAAAACGATCAGCATCAGAATTATTACAATAATAATTTAATTTTAATTTACGAATCGCGACACGCGTAGTTACACGGAACAAAGAAAGATCTCACGGTCCTCGATTATTTTTCAATGAAAAGATTGAATGAAAAGAAGGTGTACTAACCTCGGGACACAGGGCGCCCGATAACAGGGTCTCACTTTTTCCTGCGGCCTCGCCATGCTTTTGCAGAAAGTGTCATCCACTATGCCCGCGTGTTTCTCCAGGCAACGAGGCTTGGAAATCTGCTCGCCTGGGCCGCAATTCGCGTTGCACTCTTCCCAGTCGAGAAAGTTCCACGAGAACTCGGGCTTACGAGGGCTCTTCTCTCTCACGCCGAACGAATACCTCACCGTCACGTTCTCTTTCGGCAGAATCTATTCAGGGAACAACCTTACCAACCCGGTTGACAAAATTTTATTCCGAGTCCCGAGCACTCGAGGACGAAACTACTTTTCCATAGTTGAGGGAATTCGTATTCAACGAAAAGAACGAAAAGAACGAAAAGAAAAGGAGCATAGGGGGGGGAGGAGAAGAACAACACAATAAAAGGAGAAGTGGATTCTTTGGAAAGGGGGAAAATTTTGTAATATTTTTAATTAATAACGCTGAATGAAAATTAAAAATTTTTATCAAAATATATTCGGAAATTCTTCTTTACGGAATTTTGTGAATATAATCTTTGTCAAAGGTTGTAAGATTTGATTAAAATGGAAATGAGTTTGTGAAATTTTCTTTTTTTTTTTTTTTTAATATACTTAAAATTTTGTTCTCCAATTTGTGAGGATATGAAAAAGTATGTTTGAATCGTCGTGTGCAAATATTGGAAATGGGAGGATGGCCCGATATATCAATTTTTAGGGGAAAAGTTTGAATAAAATAGATCCGATAGCGTGTTTCGAGTGAAAGACAGTTGGCATGCATATCGCTACACTATATCTGACAACGTAACATCCATTTCTCTCTCTCTCTCTCTCTCTCTCTCTCTCTCTCTCTCTCTCTCTATTCATAGATTAAAATGAGTCGCTTTGTACTTCAAAGGTAATTGATTTTAAGAAAAGTTACATTAAAAAACGACGACTATGTTAAATGTAGTACAACAAAAATACAAAAATTTTATGTTTTAAAACATTTTTCTAGTCTTGTATCGAATCTTCGAAACGAGATAAATCTTGAAAGCCAACATCGTATGGAGCTTGAACTTGCTAAATTATTTAACCCCAAGAGTCTCAAACTGTTTTCAAGCTTAGAGCTCTTCAGAGATCTCATCTTTAACATTACAAATTAACTTTCGATGCATCTTGTCTTTGCAATTATACAAAAGATTTGCACAAATGCTTTTGACAAAAATTTCTAATAATTTCTAACTATCTTTATATAGAAGAAGAATCAAGAATTTAAAATCAACGTTATATCAAAACTAAAGAATATAAAAATAAATAGTAAACATGAATATCTCAATAATAATTTGTATAACTTATACCATTATTCCATATCCACATATAATACTTCAACTTTAATTCATACATTCAAACACGTTCATATTCACAGCAAATAGCTTCGAAGACTCGATCACAACATTAGTTTAAATAATCTCCTCTCCATCAAGAATGAGATATCTCTTTAATGCCTCTTTCGTGGAACATTCGTGTTCGTTAAGTATCTCTTTCAAAGTTAGAACCCCATAGATATCTCGTCCAAGATTTGGATAAAAGTAATTGAACATCTCATAAACTATATTCCTGAGATAGTATCTCGTCCCTTGGCTTAAAAGAGCATAATAATCTCACACGTTAGACATCCTAATTAATCATTGCACAGATATCGTGGAACGAAACTTTTCAAAAGAATAACGAATACGTGTTAAACAGTAACGAGTAAAGAGAATTTTGTTGTGTTATCGCGACTCGATAAGAACTGTCCTCGGACACCTTGCTCGAGATACCGATCGAGTTATCGATCGAGTCTGGCTAATTAGCGGAGCGCGTTCGTTATGTTTACCAATATAATCAAGTCCTCGAGGATGGGTCCTGGTATGATGAGAGCCTCCTGGTTCAATCTTATCGCCCCTAACCATATCTTCATGCCGGCAACCTCGAACAATCCTAAACGATCCCTGAAATAATCGAAGGTAATGTAGTTTCGTTTTTTTGTAGTTATTCGTTTCGAACGGAAAGTGGAAAATTTATTTCTGTGAATTGGATACACAGATTTGGATGATTAAAAGTAAGGGAGAGGCTATCGTTAAAGAAATGAAATGTAGTTTTAGTGAATTTTGAGAAGAGAAATTGCAGAAAGGACAAATTGTGAGTATTATATTAATATTATAATAATTTTGAAAAATTATGAAAAAAGTAATATCTTCATATTACTGATATTACCGAGTCTTTGTTTAAATTTTTTTGAACAAGTATCAAATCACGATATAATATAGAAACTTCACGAGTATTTTTGAGCAGATATTAATAATTTACGTTGTTTGAGGAATAAACACGTACTTAAGTCAAACAATATACACATTACGAAACAGGTTCTACGATTATAAATTTATTATTAAAGTTATATTATTAAAAAGTTCTGTATTAATTTTTATTTTAATTCTTTTGTAATTAAAACACAAAGAAAAAAAATCACGAAACTATTTAAAAATTTTATTACGAACCATAAATTTATTACGAAATTTATTACGAATCATTGTATAGTATAATTGTTCCATATCTGCCACTCTTATCCGAATATTCTATTACATTTCATTATTATTATCATTATATATTTACAAACAATTTTATCTTACCTATTCGATCGCAATTTAAAACGTTCCAAACAGAAACATATCGACAAATAAAAAATACGAAACGAAATAAAAAGTTCAAACGAGAAAGAGAAAGAAAGAAAATATACTCGAGGAAAAAGTCAATTTACCCACGAATTAACGGCTTCTCATCCTTGCTCCACACCATTATCCTGGATTTCGAGGGTTCCATCTCCTCGACACGGACGTTGGTCGCGTAGACAGGGATCTCGACCAGCCTCGTCGGGTCTGCCATTGCGAAAAGTTTTTAGTACCGGAGTGTTAGAAAAGTTTCGCAGAGGGCGCTATCGGTATCGACTCGCAAGGGATCGCGAGATTTATTCGACGATATATACGAATGTACATCGCATCGCGTCGTGGGCGTGGAAAATCGAGAGAACGGCGGAGAAAATTCCTCGAGAAATATCTCTCGCGCTTTTCGCGTCGATCTGGTGCCTTTATCCGGGCGGAATTTCAACCTATCCTGTTTTATTTATCGCGATTCTTTCGAAAATATTTTTCTAACGGGTCGAACTGTTATAATTATATTCTCACGGGTTTCTTCGAAAGGGGATCGAAAGGTTTGTTGTGCCTCGATTAATCTCAATCGATCCTTCCTTTGTGTATACTCTCGAGAATTTTTATCCAAATCGAGGATGTTCCCTCTGCGTGAAATTAGATTATAGATCATAGGAAGATTTGAATTATTAATTCAATTGTGATTAATTTAATTTTTTTTTCATTTGACTTGTAACTTTGATATCGTTCTAATAAGGATGATAATTTCAGGATGAAGATGTCGTACGATATAGAACAATTTTTGATCACGAAATATGAAAGTGAAAATAATTTTTTCGAGTGATTGACAAAAGATTCAAAAAATACTTTCGAATTATTAAAAAATTACTTTCAACTCATAAAATATTTGTTAAATTCTATACAGTGATAAGAATATAAATCAGAAACAATTTTTAACCAAACATCTGATAAATTTCGTACAAAAATTTTTTCGACTGATTCAATAAACTAAACAATGCATATTAATTTCGTATTCATGTGAAGAGATGAAAAATATTAATTCCTTTCGCGATACACTGTTAATTAAAATAAGAAACAAGCATTTCAGCCTACATACGCGTCGATACATTTTTATACGAAACAAAAATATTTCCTTCCCATCCTATAAAATCATCTAGATAGAAAACACGGATAAAAAAGCGACGAGGGAATATTTCAACGCTCCGAGCAACCACTTTCGAAAGAAATGCTCGAACGACGCGTAATAAAACGCGCATAAACGGAGATAACAGTGAACAAAACATTACATTAAAAACTCGTAATATTTCTACGAAATGAAATAAACGCGTGGCGCAAAAATTTAGGGGAGAAGGAAAAAGTTGAAAGGTGGATCGCACTCACGTAACGCTTGCACGATCGTTGTCGTGTATTCCTTGAGGCTGCACGAAGTCCCATTGCCCCTGCACACACCGCACGCGTCCTCAATGGCGTTCGACTCCATGTTGAGATCGCACGGTATCTCGCGGCAGATACCACCGATGCAAATGTTCCGGATACCCCTGTAGCAGGTGGTGCCGTCTATGACCCTCGGACTCAGGGAGGCGACCACGTTCTTCTCGTTCACGCAGTAAAGCGTGCATGGGTTCTCCGATATTCTCAGATCTGAGACGATTGTTCGTGCGTAAGTAATTTTATTTATTTATTATAAAAAAGTTATTTGAAAAATAGTTACAATAATGAGAAATTTGTCGAGTTCGTTTCAACGAGCATTGGGAATGAAAAAAGGTAAATTTCTAAAGAAAAAAAAAAATGAGAGTATAATTTGTTCTATAATAAGATGCTTATTTTTCTTGTAGGTCAAAATGTATGTAAAATTTTCTATTTATGGTGTAAATATTTGAGGCAGCATTAAAAATCTAAGGATGGGTTGTGAACTATTATATTGAAATTTTGTTGTACGAAAGATTTTAATTTTAATTCTTTCCTGATATACTTATGTAGTTTTACAGGAATTGAGATATTTGGATTGTTCCTATTTCAAGTAAGATTATCGTGTCATTGCAGCGAGATCAGGTGGAAAATAAGCACGTGTCGTATACGTGACAATTTTGATATAATTTTTTTAATGAGAATATTATTATGTTTAATATGTACAATTGAAGAATTCAAATGGAAAAGAAGAGGAATATTCAAAAACACTCAACTACACTTAACTAATTTCTTAATGCTTAAATCTTTATTTAGAAGAAATAATTTATTTGAAAATTGAAGAGGCGGAGTTGTAAATTTAAACAAATTAATTTTAAACTTAAAAAAGGTGGATCAAATATATTGATATATATATATATATATATTTCCACAAACACAAAGCTCCGTCCAATTTACTTATCTCTAAATTTATGACAGGTTCCTATTTTCCACTTTTTATAGCTAAATAAGACGAATAGTTGACCAGCCAGTTACCCTCGGGCAGCTTGTACTCGGACCATTGGTGAAGTTTCCCGTCTTCTGGGAAGACCCAGTTGTTGTACCCGCTGCACTGGACATCGCGGAACGAGGGGGCGTCCACGTCGCACGGCTGCAAATCCAAGAAAACTTTTAACGAGTACGCTCGTGCAGGATAACCCAATTTCCAATCTCTCCGCAAAACTTGAAAAGTAATCACCTTTGATTGAAAATTTCATGGCCAATTGAATAGAAAACTTTTTACTTTGTCCCATTTTGCGAAATATATATATCGTGAGAAATTCGAATTTTTTTTTTTTTTTTCGATTACATTTTAATCACGGAAGATTTCAACGATGGAAATGTTTGAAAACACGATTACTACAGAGCATTATACATAATCGACAGAGAGAGAAGGAAGAGTCTGCTGTCTCGGCTTCTTTTCTCTTATCAACGTCATCGTTCTAAACTAGCTTCCTAGAGTGTTAATTCGCCGTGAGATCAACGAAAGCGTAATAGAGATTTATCCTCTTCGCCGGTTCGCCACGTCAAATTGAATAAATGAGGCGAACATCTGCAGCGAAAGTTTACGCGGATAATAAACGTTTGTTTGCCGTGCACCAATCTTTTTCTATCCCAGATTGTTTAATTAAATTTATTCGATGAGAAAGTATCGTGATTTCCTCCCTTTCGTTGCAAACACTTGCGAATGATTATACGAAGGATTTAAAACAAAAAGATGGACGAAAGATTTCTGAAAAATTTATCGCTCAATATTCCATTCTCCACGAAACTTTGTTGTATACATAAATATACAATAAAATTATCAAATCACTCGTAAATTATTCGTCCGCCCAAAATTACCACGTTTATTATTCCTTTCAATCATCCATTCTTCGAATTTCATATTATTTCGCACGATATCGACTCGATCACTCACGATTCAACGCCACCAATTTTGCCTATTTTCCGTCGCGCAATCGTAATCACAATTATTCACTTTCACCTCTCCATCCGACTGTCGATTCCAAAATCGATCACTGTTCGATATCCGTCCATAACCAAACTTTCGTCTTTTGTCTCATTTTCCCACGACACGAAATATCGAACACTTTCCTGCCTAATTCAATTTCTGGCGAGATTCTTTGCAAGATTCGTGGGGAGGGGAGGGCTACTAACCTCTGTGGCGCATATTTTGTGACGTTTCCTGTCGCCTTTGCAGAAAGCGCCGCCATTCGATGGGACAGGATTGACGCATCTCCTGACCGAGAGTGTGACGCCGGAACCGCAGGTTCGGGAGCATCGACTCCAAGATGACCAATTGCTCCAACCACCGTCCACGACACCAGGCTTTTCCCCGACCAGCAGGCATTTCATTCCGTAACACCACTGCAAAGTTGATTATCGATCAATCGCGCCCTCTCGCCATTCTTTCAATTAGTCGCGTCACGCGCCATCTATCCGTCTATCGCGCTCCTCCATCTCTCTCTCTCTCTCTTTCTCGTTATATATTTCCTCCTATCGTTGCATCATGAAAATTTCGAACGAATCGATCGAAATTTTTCGTCTAGTTTTCTTCGATGTGACCAGTCATGTGAAAACCTGTTGTGCCCTGTTTTATGTCTTTCGAGACGAATTTTTCAAGGGGAGGGGGAATTGTTTCTTTGGAACTTTCGATTTTGGGGAGGGGGAAGAAGAAAGAATTATTTTGAGGAGAATTATTGAAAGGAAGAAAACAACATGGAATAACGAAAGAGGAGGAAATATTCGATTTTAAATATTTTTAAGTATTTTAATTTTAAGGGTGGACATTTTTTTTGAAAATGTCTTTTGATTTTATATTTTTAATACGACGATCCTTTTCGAATATTTAATTTCAGAGCAATTTCAGAGGAATTTCGGTTGAACGAACGAAGGAATATTATTTTTTTCTTTAAAGAGGAAAAAGTATTTTCGTTCGATTTTAAATATTTTTAAATATTTTTAAATATTTTAATAAAGTATTTTAAGAATGGAGAAAGTGAAAAGAAAATGAAAGATTTTTCAAAAATGTACTTTTATATTTTTAACACGACGATCCTCCTTTTCGAATATTTAATTTCAGAGGAATTTCAGAGGAATTTCGATTGAACGAAGGAAAATTATTTTTTCTCTAGAGAGGAAAGAGTATTTTCGTTCGATTTATATTTTCGACGTATGACACGTATAAATATATCATCACAATTTTGTTTTTCCCAATATTTAATTTTCGAAGAGGAAGTAAAGAATTACAGAGAATGCAATTGTTGGAAACAAAGTATATATTGGAAACGAGAAGCAATTTTTATTTCGACATTTTTTTTTTATTCTACGATCACAAGTTTTAAAACGGAAAAGCGATAAAGCTCGTTACCTTTCAATTTGGATAGTCAATTTTTCCCTGCAATCGGAATTGAAACGGTCGAAAAAGTAAGTTGCCGTTTAACGTTTTCAAATTTTTTCTAGAAAATCCATCCAATCGCTTCCATCGTCGAAATATATATATATACAAATATTTAATTCAAATTACATCAAATTTCCCTCTTTCTACTCCACAGAGACAAAACGATTCGCATTCTTAAAAATTTCAAGAAAAATAAAAATAAAAAGATCTCAGAATGATAGAACATTTCCTTAAAACTCGTGAATCATTCAGAGAGAGAGAGAGAGAGAGAGAGAGAGAGAGAGAGAGAGAGAGAGAGAGAGAGAGAGAGAGAGAAAGAGAGAGAGAGGAGGATATTAAAATTTAAAAAAAAATCGATTCATCGCCCATTCGGAATACCATTCGCGGTCGCGCGATCACGCTTCTCTACGTGACGAGATCGGATCGTGAAAATATAATTCTCGATATAATCAATGAGAGGAGAGGCCGCAGGAACGTGATAAAACGCCCTTTCGAATGGAAAACCGGAAGAAAGATAATCCGCATTTGTTCTTTCGCGAATAATTAAACTCGTTGTCCGCCATTGATCTGCTGGAAAGCAGAGAAACGCCTTGAAAAAAAACGTAACGGCGTCACAGTGGTTCGAACAATGTATGAAGAAGTGGAGAAAATTCATTTTCAAATTAATAAGAAATAATTGTTTCGATGTAATGCATAATATATAATATCAAAACTGCATGTTAAAATTTTAAATCCTCTTTTTGCAAAACAAATTTGTTTACAACAAATTGAACAAAGTATGTAGGCAGAGGATTGATCGATAATTGATCGATTAGTAGATTTCAAATAGTTGAGAAATATTTTGTAAATTTATTAAGAAACGTTTAATAATTTTATAAAATGGAATATGAATACATCTCGAAACATCTATTTTAATTTAAATTTAAGGTTAAAGTCAAGTAATTGCTAATGTTAGAAATTTACAAAATGCAACGATTTGTCAATGATTTTTCATTCCACGTTCCACGTAATAAGAGTTGGATATGCGAAAAGTAGAAACTTTCTACTCTTTTTTACCATATTTGATTCGCAAAACTTTGCAAAGCTACGCTAAAATTAATTTTGTTCACGTGACATATACACAACTGAACCGGATTCTTTAATCTAGCCACTGATATTTATGGATTAATTTTAAATTATCTTATATTATAATATATATTTAATAATATTCATAATTTTAATTAACAATTTTTTTTATTCCTTTCAATCTCTCAATATTTTTATATATTTTTTATATATCAATTATTATATATTCCCATTTTTATTCTATGCTAATTAAATTAATTTTTCACATATATTTAGTTACTTTCTTTAAGAAACAATAAATATTATAATAAAAAGTAATATTGTTTTTCAAAAATTAAAATCTCCGTATAAGCTCAAAAAAAAAAATAATTTTATATATAAATTCAATTAGAGCCTATCGTTCGAACCACTATGCGATGATTTGCTCCCTCCTCCCTCCTCTTGCTCCCCTTGCTCCCTCCTCCTTTGCAAAGCCTCGAAAAATCTCGAATAACGTTACAGGCATTCTTCGTCCTTGCAACGCGATCTCTGACAAAAGAAAAAAGAAAAAGCAACCTTTGCAACGTTGAATTTCTCCGATTTTGTTGTGATCGAAAGAGAAAATGAGATTTGAAATAAATGTGAATATTTATATTAATTGCAGATGTATTTCCAGAAGATTAAATTTATGTATATTAAAATTGTACGTAACTTTACATACATGATACGAAGTTTCAAATTTTTTAAATACTCTTAATCAACACCTGGACAATCAAAAAAAATATTTTCTTTACAGATAGAAAATGAAGAACGAAAGAAACGTAGAAAACTCTCCCTCTCTTTGTCTTTAATCCTTCTCTCTCGATGATTCTTTTCAAATTTTACGAACGTAACGAAACGAACTTCTCGATCGATGTTAACAACTTCTACTATATATATATATATATATATATATATATATATATATATACCGCAATAATTTTATCATCGAAATTGATTACAACCCGATATCTCGATTAAATTATTTCAAGTATTTCCAACGCGTTCCAAACATCTATCTTATCCTGTCTCTTCAACATTTATCTTCGTTGTGTAACTCGATTTTCCCGGGGAACGGGCGCAAAAGATGTATTATTTTACAAGTTGATTTATCTTCCACGGCAACCACGACCTTTTTCTTTTCGTTACGACACGGGATTTCAGAGACATCGCCTTGGCGCGCGCATCACCGAGGATAGCTTTGAAGATCCTTTAGGGGCCGGAGACGAGTATTATGACGCATTATGAACTGCGAAACGTGGCCCCCCTTCTTCCTCCTCCTTTTCCTCCTCCCTAAACGCAAACTTTCGCACGGCACTCCAACATCATGTATCATCCGAAGTCAAATATAGCGGTGAAATTTGCATAGTTATTGAATCTAGCGAGCTTCTGAAAGGCAAACTTGACGGTTACCGCTAAATTTTCCCAACGTTATACATCCGACGGAAATAATTATCCAACCATTTGTTGTCTTAAACGTCCTGTACGATCTTTTTTCTTTTCGATATTTATCAAGGTTTCTGGAACATTCGACGCGCGTTAATTTTCTTAAACTATTCGAGTAATACTTTAATTTTTATTAGATGTGCAAATAAGTTCCTTTCCCTTTCTTTCATATCTTTTTGACTGAATTGCTTCGTCGTTCGTGGCGCCATCTGAAAGAGCGTTCTTTTGTTTTTAAGAAGAGTCGCGATGAGCGCTCTAAACAGTTTCCAGTTCTATGCGACAGTTAGAGCGATAGCATTGTTGTGTGCGAGAAGCATCGTTCGCGTCATTGTTTAGTTTTTGCATTCAGGAAATCGGCTGTCGAAGCAACTAAAATGGTTTGCGCGTCACTGGGAGAAAACTGTATCTTACGAAACATGGAAAAAGTCGTAACAAAGATTTAAAGCCGGAAATTGTAATTTGGAAGAGGATCGTGCGTCGAGAAAGTTCGACGAGGAAGTGAGTCGAAGGAATCCGACTCAAACGCGAGAAGAATTGGCAGAAAGACAAGAGGTATCTATCCGATTGAAATAATTATACCTGATTTATGTGGTAAAATCTTGAATTTGGAAAGAAAAGAACTTATTTGCACACTTAATAATTATACGAAGCATACGTGATCGCATTGAATATTTGAATGATTCGTAATTTAAAAATCTCGTATGAAAAAAATTTTTTCACATTGACATAATCAGATTCTATTAATTGTATCGTATAAGAAGTTGATAAAAAAAAAATTAATAAAAGAGAATCCTCATTCTCGTAAGAAATATTTTTCTCGATCCACGATTTGAGAACCACTGGTTAGTTGAAAAAAAACCGTATCATCAAATCGATCGAATAAAAGAAAATCAAGATAAAAAAAAGCGACGTTAAATCCCTTATAATACTTTCCCCCAATCTCATTTCCTCTCAAAGACACGCACCTCGATTTTGTATACACCTCGAGAGAGCTTTAATTACTTTTCGATCGATGCAAGCATGGTATTCGATGAAGAAAACAGCGTGGCTCGCACACGAGTTAACAAGAGCGTGGTGAAATAAAAAACAACGAGCACAATGTCTTAATCGAATTTGCATTGAGATTCAAACGGCCCAGAGACTCGAAGAGAGACAGAGAGAGAAAAAGAAAGAGAGAGATTTTTATCCGAAACGGTTTTACCGCCTAGGATCCTATTAGACCTGTTTCTTGCAAAAGTCGTGCCGTTAAAACCCCTTGCTGACGTATTTATAGAGGATTATCGCATATCTAAACAATACGTATCATTCCAACGTAGAAACGTATAATTCTTTTTCGCGACGCGGTGCACCTACGCAAACGAATGTTGTCGCGCAACGAACAAAAGCTTGCGTTTAAGCCCCCCCCCCCCTCAATGTCTCGGATCGTTAACCATCTTAATATTGGCCATTACTTAAAGAAAAAAAAAAGATTCGAGCGATCCTCCAGATATGTAAATTGCGTTCGTTACCCGCGTAATATAGATACACAGAATATACGGGTTCGAAGATGAATACTTTTCCGGTGTATAATTACGGTGTAATAATTTGTAAGAGTGTTTATTTCTTCTGTAGAGAAGGAAGTAATTTGATTCGAGAAGAAAAGCGAGGGGGAAGGTGTAAAAGGATATGTGTCGTCGAGTCTGGTGAAAATATTTTTGTCTCTTCTTCCGTCACGCTCGTTGGAGAGAAGATCGATTCTCGAGATTTGAATTCGTTTCGCGTGACAGTACGTATATACGTGACAAATGTGAAAAAATATTTCAATATCGTAGTATTAATCTTCTCGAGGTTAGGATGTTATGTTCAAAGTGATTTTTTATCGTGGATTTTATATCTGATTTTATAACTGAGATTATTAATCTGATTTTTAGGAGATTGAACTTAACTATTCTTATTATATTTCATGCTATTATATATAGTCAAAATCATTGCGGCAATCATATTGAACATAACTACTCTTTTAAAGAAACGATAAATATTACAAAATGTAACCATCTTTTTATCTAAGATAACGAAATACTTTGCCCAAATGAGAGTAGCCTCATCTCTAAAAAAAAAAAAAAAAAAAAAACGTTATTTATATAATGACGCAATTGCACGAAAAGGGCGAACCATTTCCGCCATTTCGATCGAAATCCTTTTTGTCCTCTCTCGCAATTTCCATTAGCCACGAGCAAAAATGAAAGATCAGAGGCGAGGATACTCCGCTAATTTTCCTTCGCTTACTTCCAGGCAATAATTTACCCTGTTCTCCCCGCAGCGCGTGCCGTCAGCCACTGGTTCCATCGTGGACACGCAACCCTTTCCCGGAATGGCGCACCTCAGGCTCTCGCACTTCTGAAAATGTAACGCAATCGTATCGGTTAGGGTGCAGATGGTTTCGTGTCGATCGCGATATCGCGCAACGATAGCCAACCACCGAGTCGCTGTGCCGTGCTTATCTCAACGATTCACGATCGCGTGTGTATGGGTGTGTATGTGTGTATATATATGTGTATCCTAAAAGGATAAGGCAGGCCGCGCACGAGGTAAAAGCTTGCTGTGGCGGACGACAGATGACGCCTCTTCACGGGCGATATCTGTCGTGGTTTATCTTGTTAATAATAAAGGACAAGAATGCATTTGTGAAATGAAACTTTCGTGATTCGATTTATATTATGTCTTTTGTTGAAAGTAAACACTTGAAAATAATGTTCGGAATGGAAATTATTATTGTTGATAATTTATTTCTTAATGTTGTTTTTAGATTTGAAGAAAATAAATCTCGAGAATTTTTAATTTCAAATTCAAATACTTTCAGTGAAAATTATAGTTAGATAGTTATTCTCCGTGTATGATATAATTCTATTATATATGAAAAATAGTTTCAGGAACATGTCTCGAGTCGTTTTATACGATAGTGATCGGTTAATTGTTGGAAAGTTATTTGGAAAGATGATATCTTTAAATGTATTTATAACTTACATTATACGATGATGTTTGGTTAAGTATCGTATGATTAAGATCGAAAAATAGCAAATATACGAAGGTGAGTGTTTTGATGAATATGCTTTTTCAATTTTCTTATGACTAGATTGCGAATGTTTATGTAACATTTAAATTTATGTACATTTAAATTTTTATGATTATATAAATGGATATGATTATATATATAGAATATTATATATATAGATATGATTATATATATATGGTAGAAATGGTGCTTGAAGAAAAGAAAAAAGAAAAGTGTTCGTGTTGTATACTATCTTCATTTTATAGCGGCGTGTTAGCTAGAATTCTAGTTGCGGGAATTGATTGTTGGAGATAACTCCGTGACATTGTTGTATCTAGTAATGGGATCAGGTTTGATATAAACTTGTAAATTTAAATCAAATTCAATGAAAAAGATGTAATTTCACAGAATTTGAACATTCACCTCTGCAATTTTATAATATTTGATATTACAGAGAATATAAATGCAGAATTTTTTATTTCGTTGTTTTAAATCAGGAAATTCGAAGTAGTGAACGAGAGAGAAGGTAAGATATTCGATGAGATTGAATAAATCGAAGTTATTTGTACACACGAGAAAGGAATGTGCAGAAAGAGAGAGAGAAAAATTTTCGAAGTTTCCAAACAACTGTTTCAAAGTTAAAAATTTCGAACATGAAAACTTTAATAACAAATCTAAAGTTTGTAAAAACTTGTAAACAATTCTTAATCAAGGGATTAATTTTCAAATACTTTTTACATTAAATTTCTTACATAACAATATAAAATAAATTGCACTTTTAGCGTTATTAAACGAAACCATTGTTAGACGAAAACAAAAGCTATTCGTTCTTAATCTAGAAGAAAGACAATTTCTCGAAAGATCATGTATATATATATATATATATATATATATATATATATATATATATACACATAAACACACAAGAAATAATTACCCTTCTCCATGTTTCTCGGACAATTTCATCTATTGAGAAACGTGGCAACGTCGAAGTAATTTCTTTTTTTCATAAATATACGAATAACTTGACGAACACACTTTGTGGAACACATTTTGATGAAACCACGAAACGGTTCGCTCAATTACCTTTCTTTTGTGCTTGGGACGCGAAGAGGGGGAAAAGAGGAGGGGATGAAAAAACGTAATCTTTGTTTCCACGTCGCGCGTGTATGTATATGCGTGTGCGTGTAAATATCGAAGAACAACAAGGGATAACGCGTTTATTGCAGCGCGGATGGAAAACAATGCTCGTTCGATAAATAAACGAGGAGTGAACAACCGCAACACGGGTGAATTTTCGTAGTAAGTTCGTTAACATAACGCGTGTCAACCCTCCTCGACCACCCCCTCCCCCACCTATGTTTTCGCATTTAATTATAAAATTACAATTGAGGGTCCCGTCGTGTTTGGTCCATCATCAATGATTTCGAATGACGAAATAATGAGACTGTTAGAACAGCGCTTCATTTTGCAATCTCTCTCTCTCTCTCTCTCTCTCTTTCTCGTTAAATTAATTCGACGCCCGGATGCAATGGTCGAATACTTATGAAAACATCGATCACCAGATGATTCTGCGTCGTGGAATTAGATTAATTAATTAATGGACAAATTGAACGGGGTATTATTTTTGCCGAGATTTTAAACAAACGATTCGTGATTTAAAAATGCGAAAACAAAAATATCTTTTTTTCTTCCGTTCGAAGATACAGGATGCGGGAAAACGATTCAAATTAAATTAAAATTGAATAATAATGGAATAATAACGGATGTCAAGATCTTATGATTATGATCTATAAATTTAGGAGAACAGGCATAGGTATAGCGAAGGCTTGCATATATTTTTTCTAGGTCGCAATGAAATATGATGGAAATATAAAGAATATGGGAGTTCCTCACAGGCGCATAATGTAACGTGGAAAATAAGGTAGAGGCAGCGGAGCTGTGTAATGTGATATCGCGTTGAAAAAAAAAATTGGAGGAGCTCGAGGAGAAATGAAGGGTAAGTAAAAAAAAAAAAAAATTTATTAATGGGAAAATTTTATTAAATTTGTTCCCTTACCACTTCCAAATCGCAATGGCGGGCCTCGAGACCGTATTCTATTCGACACTGGTCATCCGCGTTGTACATCACCCCTGGAAGAAGTTCCGTGCTGGGGAACTCGTAATTTTGCTGCTTGTCCTCCAAACAGAATCCTAAATCTGTTCTACGAGAATAATCGTATGGATAATTATGTTTAATTTCTAAATGTAAATGTGATTTTCTATTTTTTTTTTCTTTTTATATATTTTTGAGGTTATATCAGAGAGATGTTTGTAATGTATGTTTTCTTTAGCGTGTGTAACGTGTTAAGCAAATAATAAGATATAAAAAGTACCACCAAGTGGAAATCCAATTTCATCGTGAACAGAATTTTGTACCGATTTTTCGGTCAACAAGTTTCCTTGCTACTTTAAAATGAATGGAAAGCAAACTCAAATCGATTTGATAAATTTTTGTTGGCGCGAAACGCCACGGTTTCTTACTCGATGTACAATTTCAGCGATTCTTTCGAACATACGGACCACTTTCTCGTGATGTACAAGTTACCGGGATGCATGACCGTCGTTTCGATGTAATTTTCGTCGTGATGAATAATACCCGGACAGCCATTTTCCTCTTTGACGTCGTGCGACATACCTAACCTATATAAATGAATTCAAATCGTCGAAATAAATAATTAATTCGAATCGATAGAGATAAAAATGAATACGTTATTTTAATGATCATTTCAATCCTAATTCTATCTAGAGATTTTAATTTAAAACGATTAATTTATTCATCTAACTCGAAACACTCGATTAAATAAAGATTTAAATTATTTAAACCGAAGAACATTTTTAAATTAATTTAGAATCTCTGATATAAGTTTTTCGCGTAATTTAAAACTCGGTTAAACCTCTATTAAAATTAGATAAAATTTAAATTAAAATAAAATTTAATTCTAAAGATAACGATTCTCGGTTAATAAACGAAAGATCATTAGAAGCGCGAAACCTTGCTCTTAAAAACGCTTTTTAATTTATCTCGATACGACTTCTGGTTCCCGAAATATCATCGTATAAGGAAAAAGTAATTTTTAATTTACTTTAAACCCGATTAAACCGAATTAAAATTAGAAAAAATTTGAATAGCTATAATTCCGAAGATAACGATTCTCGGTCGGTATACAAAAGATCGTCAGAAACGCGAAACCTTGCCCTTCAAAATGCTTTTCGATTTATCTCGATACGACTTCCGGTTCCTCAGATATCATCGTGTAAAGAGAAAGGTAATTTTTTAAGCGTTACAATCTCCATCCTCGTCTCTTACTCGGACCTCTCGCTCGCACCTCGTCTCACCGACCTATTCCAAACTTCAGACAACTAACAAACGCTATTCTGCAGATCACTGGGCCGATTCGTAATCTCTGCATTATCTTCATGAAAACTTTAACTCCTCGTATCTCGGCAATCGATCGAGATATCGTGATAAAACAAAAAGCGACTCGAAGGATATAATTTTCTCCATTTCTTGAAGTCTCGTTCGATTTATTAATTTTACGTGGATGCAACGGTCTTAGCTACATAAAAATCCGCGGTTTATTTATACCTTTTTTGGATCGATCTTTTTTCCCATTATATTTCTTTATACTTTACAGCTCGCGCTAATGGAAGTAGCGTCTCGTGATACTTCTTATCTCTCTATATGTCATATTTTTTCCTCCTACATTCCCTTCCTACATCTCTAGATACGATGCCCTATATATTATACGTTTCTGGGGAGGAAAAAGCGGGGGAAAGAAACGGAAGAGTAGCGAAACTCTTACGTGTGGCCGAGATGGTGGGCGATGTGGTATCCCGTGTGTAGGCCAACGTCGTTTATAATGGCAGCGCCTTTCAAAGGGTCGCAAGTTCCAGCGATCGTCGAGGTACCGGTGAAACCACACACGCTCGGTGAATCGCAGATGTTACTCCTGACCAAATGAATGAGGGTTCAACCTCGTTCGAGGTTAAGTTGGGACTCGCGTAACATTAATTCGATCTCTAGCTGTACTTTGTAATCAGAATGGCACAGTCGTGGTGATTCGGGTGTGTATCGTCCCCAGGGTTAATCATTCGTTGCCACTTTTGGAAATATTTCAGGGTAGTGTTCGAGTCTTTAGTTATAGTTAAGCTCATCTGTATATTATACGAATAATATTATTTAATAATAATAATCATAATAATAGAATATAAAAAAACAGTTCTAATCAATATATATATATATATATATACCTCATTTTCTTGGACGAGCATTCTTATAATCCTGACAATGGTCAATTCCATAGTTATTCCTAAACTGACGTCGTGTAGCAACGCCGCAGCCTGAAACAAGCTTAAAATTAATAATTTCCATCATACTTGTTTACATCGAAACGAAAAATAACGTTTAACGTTTTTTTATCATATAAATCCAATTTTTCGCGTCACTAGCGTGAAAAGAAGTGTTCGCCTCCCCCCCCCCGCCCCTCCCCCCCTCGTTTCCTCTAATAAATGTGCATACTTGAAGAGATTATTTTTCCAAACATAGCCTTCCCCTGTTCCTATTTTTAACTCTTAACGGAAGGCAATTAGGGTGAAACTAGGGCAAAGTTTTAGGTACCATGTTGAGCAGCGTGAGCGCGTAATTCTCGACGTCGAAATCCTTGTGATAATCGAGAACGGTCTTGTCGAGTACCAGCAACAGTTCCATCGTGTACAAATTGGCCTGGTTCTTAGGTGGGTGGCGTTTCTGCGAACTGAAAGCGCGCTTGGCAATGGTTTTGGCCATATTGCCGGTGACATTACAGAGAATCTCGGCGTTCCTCCCGAATTCGTCCGGCCTCTTTTTGTAGACGACATGCGGGTGCTCCGTTTCTTTGGTAAAGTCGTGACCCGCCACCGGCTCGATCGTGTACCACGATCGTTTCGTTCTAATAAATCCGGCCTGGAGATGAGAACACCGAGATTCCTTCCAGTCAGATTTATCTTTACGCCACGATATTTCGAGTTCGAGTCGTTTGAAAGCTTTATCCGCAAGCACGCCGCAATTACTCCCCCTTAATCGATTTAAAAAAAACATTTTATATATATCTTTAACCACCATGCATCTCTGCCCAATTCGTTTTCTTTCTTTCCTTTTTTTTTTTTT